AACACTCTGCATGGCCTAGAGCCTCTTTAAAAGTCCACAGAGAAAAGAGATCTTCTAGACTCTGCTTCATAAACCTCATCTCACAAGAACTGCACTGAAGAGGACTGTTTGCAAGACTAGAACTTACAGGGAAGATAAAATGACAAGAAATAGGGTTGAGCCTTTTCCAATCAGAAAATTCATCCATCCATGAGATTCTGTTTCACATAAGAAATCTGTTGCCAACAGCCAGACAGAAGGGCACCTTCAGCCCAGGACTGTAAGTGCTCTGCCAATCAACCCATTCCATGGGCAAGGAGACATGTGGAACCTGGTTTCCTATTTCACCTCCTCCCTGTGCCATGCAGATTATCTGATACCAGTAATACAGTCTGAGCTCACACGGGAATCATCTGAACGTTAGGGGCATTAATTCAGATCTTCCTGCAGTATCCAGTGCCTGTTTTCCAGCAACCTTTAGGCATAAAGTACCTTTGAGACTCGACCCATCCCCTAAGCCCTGCATTCTTAAGAAAGCAAGCTAACAAAGTAAAAAGGCACATCTTTGTCATCTGGGGAGTCCCTCAGAAAAAAACAAAACATCAATTTTCCTGCAAGATCAGTGGGCAAACAATACTTGTAGCTCTTCAGGCTATTTGTTCTTCGCTGGCACAACAAGGCAGACTGCCACCAACCCATCCTACCCTATGCAAAGGCAAGAAAAAACCATAGAAGCTTTGCAGAGACCCAAGGATCCCAAAGGAAAATCAATAAGGAACTTCTCTCAAGTAGGTACATGGATTACTACTTCCCAAAAAGAGAGCTTTCTACATCTACCCTTTTTATAGAAAGGCTCCCTGCCCACCTGCAGAGTTTCTACAGAGCAGGGAGCCTCTGACAGGTGAATCCTGGTAACAGCTGAATTTAAATTTGCTTTAAAGTTCTTGGGCACTGCTCATTAGTATGGACTCTCACCTGCTTCAGCAGGGCTGAAATTTTATCCCAGGTGTTTCCTTCTGCAATGCTCCACCTATTGGAGCTTGACTTAGAAGGACAAAAAATGTCTTATCAGGGCAAACTCAAAATGCAAACCATGCCTCCTGCAAACCCAGTCCCACCCAAACCACAACCTGTGAGACCAAGACTGCAGCCCAGGCTCCTTGGACTGCGCAGCCAGAGGAGAGCAGAACTGTGCTCTGACAGATGGTTTAACCAGGAAAACTTCAAATACACATGGGCAAACATCGGTGGAATTAACAAAGCCGAGAACAGGAAAACAAAGTGACATTTCACGGCAACAGGCAAGCCAGAGTCTGTGACTATAGACGGCAGTCTATGACATAAATGTGACCCCCAAACACAAGGGAGTTGGGATTTCCAAACAAAGCTTTGCCAGGTCCCATGTGGAAAGCAAAGCCTTCCCCTTTGGTTAGGGATGGAGAGAGAGAAAAGGGGATGCCTTGATTTGTCGGTACATCAGAAGATATCCGTGACAAAATACAACAGTCTGTTCATGTCATGGAACACAGACTCCTCATTTTGCCCAGCTTTGTAACAAAAAGAGAGTGAGAGACCACCACTACTATAGGATAAGAACTTCCCACACTCAGTCTAAGTAAAAATAAGTTCATTCCTTTCTACTCCTCTCCACACAAAAAAAAAAGCTCCCAAGAGAATTTTTTTTTTCTTTGTGATGTCAACTTTACAGTTCATCTCCTCAGACAAAGCTATTAACCTGTATGCAACTTAAATCAACAGTTGGTACCCATACAGCCAATACATCTTTCCACCCTGAACCTCCACCTGACATGCAGAAGGAAAGCAAAGAGCCTGATCCTGTGACAAGGACACTGCCAGTCAAGATATTAAACCCAACTCTTTGCTCCTTGAGCTCAGCTCCCTGCTGGAACCCCACAGAGTTACCCTCACCCCAGGATGGCATCAAGTCATCAAGATGCTGTTCGAATTTATTCAAAACAGAAACATGCATGTGCAGGTAGACACATTCAGAAACAGGACATTATTAGAAGAAAATGGGAATTGTGGAAACTGGGGAGATTTTTAAAATTTTCAAAAGTGTTAAGATAAAACACAAACTTTAACCAAGATAATGGATTACAAGCATAAAGAATAAAAAGCTTCATAGCCTCACTGGAAGAGTTTAAAAGAGCTGGAAACACCATGCTCCCTCTAAGACACCATGACAGTGGGGGCATTACATTTTTTACTCATATTTAAGAAGTTTAGAATTATGAAAAGTCCAGAGCTCAACATCTCAGTCTGAAAATTATTCAGCTAAATTTCGGATTAATTGATCATGATTTCCAGTCTAGATATCCTAATTAGTTGAAAAAGGTGATATGAGTTAGAAACAGTTGCATGGGTTCCTTCTGCAAGGTCTGTTCCTCTGGATAACACCATCAATTTGATACATTTCACTGGACAATTGGGAAATTATTGCCCAGTATTGTGCTTGAGGCTACCTCTGAGTAGAGATGGAGGTTAAATGGGTGTCCATCCCCTTTGTAAAAACCACAGTCGACCATTCCATCGTATATTTCCTGTGGGATTGCTCGAGTGCCTTCCAAAAATAGCCAACAGTTTTGCTGAAAGGCTCAAAACAAACAGCACTTTTGAGGGAATATCTTACATAGTTTACATAATAGGCATCTCAGAAGGGAAAAAAGGATGTGTACAGTGTTTCAATGTGAATTCTGCACTGAACAAAAAGGCATCATTCTTTGCTTAGCACAAGGCTGAAATTCACCAGGAAGAAAACTGCTGAGGTCAAAGCCTCAGGGCTCACGTTGAGAGGGAAATATTCTCAAGGGAAGAACTTTTTTATCCTCAATTCAAATGAAAATACGATATGGAAAAGGAACAGTCAGCTTGTTTAAGCCTCAAAAAGGAAGAGTTCGACCCTAGCCAAAATATATTCACAAAAAATCTAACACATATTTAAGTTGTTAGCAGATCCACCTCTGCACATCTCTGCTTACCGTTTTTTAAATTATTTAAAACCTGGTCCTTATCTCCTGACCCACAGTTCACCCTTCCTGCTAAACACAGTATCTCAGTTTATAACTAAATACCACAAGTGTAGAGTGTCATAACCACTGGTGCTTCCACATCACTTCAATTTCAGCTGTATCTCTCCTCAGAACCTGAAAGTGAACACTGACATATATTCCTCACTGAAAGTCTGTCCTTCATGGGTAAAATACTGAATGCTTCACAAAAGAAGAATTGTTGCAGAGAATCCTGCAGCAGTATGAAGAGGCAAGTCAGATGATGAAGCTAGCAATGCCATTTTTTTTCTTTTTTTGAGAGCCCAGAGATTTAAGTTGTACTGTTTGCATCAGGGTAACAACAACTGAAGGGTCTAAAATTTGTGTTAGCAAGTGCTTTGGGCTTGTTTTCCTTTTCTCTTAAAGCAAAACAAGCCGTGCTTTTCTCTTCCCAAAGAAACAAACAACTGCTTTCAGATCGTGCAAATCACCTGCAATACCCAGCTAACTCTCGATTATTATTGTCATTCCCAGTCCCCAAACACCACCAGGGAGTGAGCAAGGAAGTGAGCTAGATCAACAGCGGACAGAAATTTGTGGAAAATCGTCCCTAGGAAAAGAACCTGTGTGTGTTCGATAAGAGACGGGGCAGGGCTTGGCAGGACAAGCCTGGTTCCAAGCTGCACCACTAAATACAACAACTCCATCAGCAGGCCCAGGAGCTCTACACCTACCCTAATGTTAACTACAAATATGGTTGCCATCTGGTGGCTAACACTGAATGAAGTTTAGCATCTGTGATGAGTTCAAGGTGGACCAGATTCCCTGGAACAACAGTAGGATAAAGAAAACCACAGATGTGGCCGTGCTCACTCTTGTGTACAGAGCGAGGCCAGGACCTTGTTGCTGCAGTTCCATACTGGATCTGGCAGTCATTGGGGAATTTTACAAGCAGTCAGACAAGTTCAAGAGATGCTCCTCGTCTCAGCAAGCGAGCTAAAAGTAGTGGATGCAGCATGGGCAACATTAAATAAAAGTGGTTTGGGCTGCCATTCTGACCCAGCAGCGTTGTTGAGCAGGGTCAGAGATTGGTACAAGGCTCAGGCCAGCACCGCGTTTAATCCCAGCCCTCCTAGATTAAATCTAGCTGCTAAAGATAACTCGCAGGGAACACGAGCAGCAGTGGGCAGATCTGCTCGCTCGCCCGCCCTCCCTCCAAGATGCACCAGTCCTTATTCAGTCAATGTCATCTCACAGCAAACCACTGAAAACCAAGACGAGCGTGCCCGCAATAAAAGCAGCTGATCAATGTCCCTGCGTAAAACGCCCGATAATCCCTGCCCAGAGTAGGCAGCTGGCATCAGATGCGGCATGCCAGAGAGATGAACAGGAAAAGTATCCATTGCATATTCCTGGCACCTTCTGCCGGCACAGGGGTGGGCGGAGAGCAGCGAAAGGGCTCCCGGGATTCAAAAATCCTCCCCCCCCAGCAGATCGGCACAATCTTTGGAGGCCGTGTGGCTGAACCACCATTCCAAAACGAGCAGCTCAAGGTCAGCACAGCGAGCAGCGATGCTGCTGGAGATAAGGGGCGAGTGTCCGTCTGTCTCCCTTTCCTCACCATCTTTGGTGTTACGCATTTAGCGCTATGGCAAAGCACAGCACCGCTCCGAAAACGCTGCATAAAGCACACCCTAAATGCCACAAGGAAACGTCTCCTCCTGGTGAACAAAAAGCATCCGCGGATCCCGCCCGGGCGAGCGGCGCTCCCGCTGCCGGCCGGAGCCGATGCCATGTTTCCGCCGGCGAGCCCGCAGCGCTCCAGCGGGGACACCCGGCATCCCCGGGATGCACCGGGAACCCGGCTCCGCAGGCAGGGAACGCAGCTGCCATCCCCTCCCAAGCACCCACTGCCAGACCCATCCCTGCTCCGGGCAGGGCTGTCACCATCCCCGGTGCCCGCGGCCCCCGCGCCCAGCCCCGCATCCCGGGGATGCCCCCCTTCCCCGCTACCTTCTCCTGCGCCCGGGTCAGCTTCTTCTGCACGTTGCTGGCGATTTTCCCGGCCGTGACCCCCTTGCTGCCCAGCTCGGCCATCTTGCCTGCTCTTTTTAACGGGCTGCGAGCGGCGGACCGGCAGGAAGGGGGGGAAAACCCGGCGGGCAGGCGATGGCCCCGGCCGTCACCGCCGCGCCGCCCGCCCGCCGCCTTTTAAAGGGACAGCGCTGCCTTACAGGGACACGCACGGGGCCGGTTCGGCACGGATCGCCCCCACACTGACTGCTCCGGGTCCTCACCGCTGCCCGGCCCAGGGGAAGGCGGCAGGGTGGGAAAGTCCGGGAAGCATCGCAAGGGATTCACATTAGATACTAAAATGAGTTTGCTGGCATCTTTCATCCCGCAGCAAAACGCCACTCTTGTTTTAAGAGATCTGTGCCACTAATTGTTATCACTGATTGTCCAAATTCACATGACGAAGGTACTTTCTAAATTACTCCTGGATATTCACAAGCACAAAGAGAAATTTAATTCTTTAAGGAAGGGCACCTGGAAATAATTCAAACCCCCGATTTTAAAAGGTGACATGAAATTTCAGAAGATTCCATCCTTTAATTATGGAATTATTAAAGTTGGAAAGGACCTCTCATGTAATTGAGTCCAACTATTACCCCAGCATCGCTGTGTTCACCACTAAACCATACCCCAAGTGTAACATTCCCCCACTCTTTGAACACTTCCAGGGATGGTGATTTCACCATTTACCTGGGCAGCACATTTCAATGCCTGACCACCCTTTCAGTGAAGAAATGTTTCCCAATATCCAATCTAAACCACCAACAGCACGTCATAAGGCTATTTCTGCTAGCTCTGTCACTTGTTACCTGGGGAAAGAGAACAACCTCCACCTTACCACAGTCTCTTTTCAGGTGAGCACAGAGAGTGATGGTGTTGCAGTTGACACAGCCACAATACACAGAGTATCACCATCCAATTTCAGAAAGCTTCAACCCATTCAGAGTAACACCATACCTCATCAGGAGGCTCCAAGCATCCACCCTTCTTGTTGTTTAGCCCAACCTTTTAAATTCTTCATCCTACATGCTTTACACCTGAGTGCCCTCTGTTCCCTTTGGTGGTTGGTCAGTGTCCCTGGGCACTCCATAGCTCGTTGCTGTCAGCGCTGCTCACCTGCTGCTCACAGCTGTGCCCAATCACCACAAACTGTGTGCCTACATCATGAGGTCTCCCCTGAGACTCCTTTCCTCCAGGCTGAGTCCTCCCAGCTCCCTCAGCTGTTCCTCATGGCACTTGTGCTCCAGACCTTTCACCAGCCTTGTTCCCCTTCTGTGGGCACCCTCCAGCACCTCAGTGTCTTTCCTGAATTGCATGGCCAGGAAAATGAACACAGGATTTGGGGTGTGGCCTCAGCAGTGCCAGGTACAGGGAGGTGATCACTGCCCTGGGCCTGGTGCCCACATTGATGCCATTTCTGATGCCATTTCTAGTGCCATTAGCCTTTCTGGCCACCTGGCTTTGGTTTTGCTTTGCTAGGTCTGCTGGGCAAATACCTTTTGTGAAACTTTATCCCTTTACACGTCAGGACAGAGTTCTGCTTCCTGGAACACAGGAAGCCACCTCAGTGCTGTTATTCACATCCTAATCCTCGGCCCCCTGGCTTCCCTCAGTACCTCACACCAGGGCCTGGGTGAGTGGTGGGGAAGGTCCCTTCCTTCCTCTCCTGCTTCTGCACACTGATCCCAGCTCTTTGTGGAGCTTGGGACAATGTGCACTCAGTACCCAGCACAGTACCAACCAATCCAGTGCTCTGCAGAAAACTGAGATATGTAACAAACTTGCATTTACCTTTAAGATGGGAACATCTATTTTAATTCAACAATGGGACCAAAACCTCTGTATGCCCCCAGAGCATTTCACACAGTCATTATTTTTCCAGATGAAGACTGTTATCTCCAGTTTCACACACAGGGAATAGTGTAGCACACGCTACTGCAATGTAAAGCAACAGATAAATGTTGAAGGTGATAACTTAAGACAGCTAAACCAGGTCTTACAACATATATGTCATTTATTGTTTCCCATCTCTGCTACAGTACTATTTCTGTTCATTCAGAACAGAAAATAAAAATAAAACCAATTAAAATAAAAACAATTGTCTTGTCAGAGCCCTTAGAAACTCTGAGCAGAGAAGCTGTCAACACCTCTTTGTAATGCTTCATGAGACAGTGCCTCTGCATTTCTTGCCTGTGGCTTTTTTAATGGCTTTTTTAATGACAAAACCTTCATTCAGAATCTAGTTTAAATCCATGATATACTTCAAATATGTTAGTAGATAGACTATTCCTATTTAATAAAATACTAGGGCGTGTGTTCCAGTTGTGCATAAGAAAAGTGCAATGACACTGGACATAGTGTGTGACTACCCATGATGCCAATCTGTATTGCAAACTGCAAATTTATTCAATTCCTTTCTGGTTTTATATCTAGTATTCATCTATCTGCATGATTAGCATTTAGTATTAATTTAGTACTCATTTTCTATAGTTCTTGTCCCAAATGCATCTGATTTCTTTCATAATTTCAGCCTTACTAGTTATTTTCATATTACCTTTCTTCTTGGGTATCATCCATAATTTTTCTCTCACCCTCACCTCCCCTGCCTTAGCTGAGTTTTTAAGGTTGAAAGATGCACATGTGGTTAAACATTTGTAACATCACATTTAAAAGAGCAGATGTTTCAGGGTCAGAACACATTCCTCTCCACCCTACCTCATATATTTGCTTCTCCTGCTTAGGCTTTTCTTCAGTGGAACTGGTTTTGAGGGGATTTTTGTCTGATTACATCCTTTCAAGTGAAAAGCAAATTAGCTGAGAAGAGAGTCCACAACAAACATCAGACAACCGTGAAACAAAAGCAGCCAGACACACACACTCACCACAATGAAAAATGATGACAAACTGTGTACACTTTAAAAGCTGGGATTAACAGCAAGTATCCACCTCTCAGCATGAGTCATTTCCCAGTTATTTCTGTACTTGATTGGATCAGCACCAAAGCTGCAAAGCATTTGCTGGGCTCCAGGTGTGTTGCAAAAGGTACTCCCCTGGCATGACCCACATATTGTGAGTGGCCATGCACCTGAGTGACCATGTAAGCCATTTCAGCCAGGTCACATATGCAGGAGGTGAGCAAGAAAGGCTTCAGGCTCATATCTATCCACCATTGTTCTGATGTCAAGCTTACTGTGTTTTACAAGGCTATAAAATGTATTTAAATTCAATTGGACTGCAGTGCAATTATGTAGTTATAAACATACAGGCTGGTAACTTAATGCTTTTATATATGTTTACGCTTTGTGTCATTGTGTGACAGAGATATCAAGCCTTTTGGAAGCCATTAGTGACAGATTCTGCACAATTGGAGTTAATAAAAATCAAACTTCATGCTTATGAGTATCATCTGAGATTAAGTTCAATATGTGCATAGTTGTCTAATCTATTCTAACACTGGACCCAGAACACTTCATTTTGCCCAACTGTAACCAGCTAAACATATTTAATTTCAGCTGAGTCACCTTGGCTCCTTTTATAGTCAAAAGAGAGAAATCTGTATCTCAAAGCTGAGGAAAGGTAACCAGAAAGGTCTCCCTTCCCCCTGAGCCACAGAGGGAGATTAGCTGGATCGCTCAAATAGCTGAAGCTGAGAAAGCCAGATGGGTTATGAAACCCACCTGTAGTCCATCTCCCTGGTGACAGCATGACTCACTGCCACAGTTCAGAGGGAAGAAGCAAATCTGTCAGATACCCCAGCACAAACAGGCATATCTAACATGTACATAGCCACCACTGCCTTTTTATGGCTCTCTTAATTGATTAATGCTCTAGTCAATAATAACTGTGTTAGGCCTCAGCCCCACAAGTGCATTTCACTTCTCAATTGTCTCATTAAAGGGAGATGAACTGTTCACCTGTTTACAATTAAACATATGCTTAAATGCTCACTGGCTTGGAGTCTATTATTTTGTAGCTTAGGTACAATTTATCCCCTTCATTGCACAAATTGTTGTTCCAGCTATTTTTTTCATTATTATCAGTATTCCTGTTTTGCCAGTTTTGTCCATCTGGGAGCAGGATGTTTTCTTCATGATTAGAAGAGTGATTGCAAAGAGTGATTTCAGCAATGTATCCATTAACTGATTTTTTATTTTTCATGACTTGAACCTTTTAATTCTAGTTTGTGTGTTTAAAAGTACAAGTTGTGATAATCAAAATCTTTCCCTGCTACTGATGGCAAAATCTTTCATTTTAATAAAATAATTTAAATAAAATAATTGTAAAATAATTTTATTCTTTTACAGTTTTTAAATTATTTTATTATCTTCATTTAATTTAAATGAAAATAATAATTTTCATTTAAATTAAATAGTTGTAAAATAACAGTTGTAAAATAAAATTAAATAGTTGTAAAATAATATGCTTCTAATAAAATAGAAGCATATATTCTCCGTTCCAATTACACAGAGGATTAAAAGCCAGTTAAATTGATTTTTGTTTCTTTTCAGCAAGGAGTTCTGATTTTCAGTGTATAATTACAGTTTTTAGAAAATATTTAGTAGAGTTCAGTTAATTAAATGTTTATGGAAATATAAATATATCAGTATTAGATTCTTTAAATTCTTATAGTTAAGAATAATATTTGCAGTAAACTATTTGAAGAACTCTAAAGCCCTTTACCCCAAGTACTCATATGATGCAAATGGGTCTATTTCAATCACAATTTCTTGCAGCATTCAAAGCTGAAGTTGGGGTATTAAACAATACCTGGTTGTTTGGATCTGTAGTTCTGACCCTGGCTGTAGCACTGCAGGCCAGTTGGCCTCACTCCCTCCAGCACCACTCTCTGCTTTCAGTGATGTCAGTTGCAGGACTAATTTAAGACAGCAAATCCAACATCTTGAAAACCACAAATTGCACTAAATATATTATGTAACAACATCCAATCAAGTTCTAACTCCAACCCTGCCCACCTTTTTCTTTCCGTTGCAGATCATGCATTCTTCTGGGACAGCATTCCAGAAGAGTTTGCAAAGGTGACTTCTGTCTTTTTTTTTAACCTGATAACATTGTCAGGGATAATTTGGTTATCAATTTCACCATTATCTAGTTTGTCTTAGAA